TTTGATTATAATAATATCAAGAGGCTACATCTCAGAGCCTACATCCAGCTGCTCAGCTGTGGGTCGTGTTCCCAGAATGCTGCAGTCATTTCCCCTCTGGATCGCAACACTGATTATTTGAAAGAGGAAGCTGGCACTCAGGGGGTTTTTGGTTTCTGTGATAAGTTTTTCACCTAACTCTTTCAGGGGTTTTAGAGCACACTTGCTCTATGTTCTGAGGGTTACCATTCTTACTGGGACGAAGTTATAGCAAGGTGGCAGCTCATTGTAGCTGCTGAACTTCTGAGTCTCCCTGAAACTGGCAGCTCAACAGCCTTCAGTTTCAGAGTGTGGTAAGTAGGTGTCACCTAACGTAAGAGCACAGGTGTAGTCCCATGCACTCTGCTGACCATCCTTCCAGGGTAGCATAGTGACTCCAATTGGACGTTTCTGGTTTCTGTTAGACTTCAGTACTTGAGGTTCCAGTTCTGCCGGACAACTGTTACCAGACTTCACTTGATGTCACTGACACCCTCCCCTCCTCCCCCCCCCCCCCCCCCGTCATGTCTGGCATACTTCCCATCCAACGTATGACGAACGAGACCATGTAATCCAAATTCGTCAGCTGATTATATATATATATATATATATATATATATATATATATATATATATATATATATATATATATATATATATATATATATATATATATATATATTGTATACACACCTTTCGGTGTGTATGCAAAAAAAATCCAGTTGAATGCTTAAGAATAGTTCTTAAAGCAATTTTTTTTCCTCATGTTATTAACATAGTTGTTCGTTTGCTTATTTAATAAGTAATTATTACCAATTATCAGCTGTTACACCAGTTTACTCCAATTTATACCAGTTTCTTGCTATCGTGACTAATTTACTGCCATATTACGAATATTATATTGACAATATAATCAAAGCAGATTCATGTGTTTTAGCTTAGATTATACCCATTATACCCATTATTCGTTCTATTATAGAAAGGCCCCACACAACTAGACTGTTAGTGACAGATGTGACTAAAGAAAATAAATTACACACATGTGCAACTCTTGGGTATCTTTATTGAGGAAACGTTTCGCCACACAGTGGCTTCATCAGTCCATACATAGGAGAAACTTGAAGAACAGGATGAGAATGAGGTAATCAGTCCCTCAGCCTTGAGTCGATGTGATCAGTCTAATTTATTAGGGTATTAGGCGACTGGTGTGGGTGGCATCTTGGGCACAAAATTAACCCAACTTGCCAGAAATGCTCTACATAACCAGGAACTTTCTATATAGTATGTCATAGGTGTGAACTATGGTCTGTATAAGTTGTATCTTGTACTTGTGGAAATATACTTTATTATTATTATTATTATTATTATTATTATTATTATTGTTATTATTATTATTATTATTATTATTAACTATCCAGTTATCAGCATTTGTTCCCATCCTTATTTCGCTTTAAGATTGTACAGAAGTAGGAGAGAGAATCGAATAAACGATATGATAAACTTGATGAAAGTTAACATAATGTATAGGAAAGAGCAAAGTTAGATAACGCAAAGGCGCACAGATGTAGACTACAGTGCTGGGTACTAGAACTCCAAGAACAGGTTAACACGAGTCTGCTGACGACCACGCAAAGGTGTAGACTACAGTGCTGGGTACTAGAACTCCAAGAACAGGTTAACACGAGTCTGCTGACGACCACGCAAAGGTGTAGACTACAGTGCTGGGTACTAGAACTCCAAGAACAGGTTAACACGAGTCTGCTGACGACCACGCAAAGGTGTAGACTACAGTGCTGGGTACTAGAACTCCAAGAACAGGTTAACACGAGTCTGCTGACGACCACGCAAAGGTGTAGACTACAGTGCTGGGTACTAGAACTCCAAGAACAGGTTAACACGAGTCTGCTGACGACCACGCAAAGGTGTAGACTACAGTGCTGGGTACTAGAACTCCAAGAACAGGTTAACACGAGTCTGCTGACGACCACGCAAAGGTGTAGACTACAGTGCTGGGTACTAGAACTCCAAGAACAAGTTAACACGAGTCTGCTGACGACCACGCAAAGGTGTAGACTACAGTCCTGGGTACTAGAACTCCAAGAACAAGTTAACACGAGTCTGCTGACGACCACGCAAAGGTGTAGACTACAGTGCTGGGTACTAGAACTCCAAGAACAAGTTAACACGAGTCTGCGGGACGACCACGCAAAGGTTTTAGACTACGGTCTGGGTACTAAAAACCCCAAGAACAAGTTAACACGAGTCTGCTGACGACCACGCAAAGGTGTAGACTACAGTCCTGGGTACTAGAACTCCAAGAACAAGTTAACACGAGTCTGCTGACGACCACGCAAAGGTGTAGACTACAGTCCTGGGTACTAGAACTCCAAGAACAGGTTAACACGAGTACAGGTAATACCTGGAGGGTATACCTGGACGGCATACCTGGAGGGTATGCCTGGAGGGTATACCTGGAGGGTATACTTGGACGGTATACTTAGACGGTATACCTGGAGGGTATGCCTGGAGGGTATGCCTGGAGGGTATGCCTGGAGGGTATACCTGGACTGTATACTTGGACGGTATACCTGGAGGGTATGCCTGGAGGGTATGCCTGGAGGGTATGCCTGGAGGGTATGCGTGGAGGATACACCTGGATGGTATACCTGGAGGGTATGCCTGGAGGGTATGCCTGGAGGGTATGCGTGGAGGATACACATGGAGGGTATACCTGGAGGGTATGCCTGGAGGGTATGCGTGAAGGATACAACTGGAGGGTATGCCTGGAGGGTATGCCTGGAGGGTATGCCTGGAGGGTATACCTGGACTGTATACTTGGACGGTATACCTGGAGGGTATGCCTGGAGGGTATGCCTGGAGGGTATACCTGGAGGGTATACCTGGAGTGTATGCCTGGAGGATACACCTGGAGGGTATACCTGGAGGGTATGCCTGGAGAGTATGCCTGGAGGGTATACTTGGACGGTATACCTGGACGGTATACCTGGAGGGTATACCTGGACGGTATACCTGGAGGGTATACCTGAAGGGTATACCTGGAGACAATTTCAGAGCTCAACGCCCCCTTGACCAGGTGATAGACAATACATTAAATATTTGTCTTTTCTACGGTATACAGGTAACGCAGTTTACATCTAATACAAAAGACAAAGGCACTAACATGCGGGGCATCTCAGGTAGACTAATGTTTGTAAACTGCTTAAGAATTAGACAAGTTATTTAGCAGGAGGCTTTTAATACTACGTAATTATTCGGTGATGTTAAGTCGATTTGGATTCTTTAAGAGTGTGTCTTAATACTACGTAATTATTCGGTGATGTTAAGTCGATTTGGATTCCTTAAGAGTGTGTCTTAATACTACGTAATTATTCGGTGATGCTAAGTCGATTTGGTTTCCCTTTAAAGAGTGTGTTTTAAATTTCTTCGTAATTATTCGGTGATGTTAAGTCGATTTGGATTCCTTAAGAGTGTGTCTTCATACTACGTAATTATTCGGTGATGTTAAGTCGATTTGGATTCCTTAAGAGTGTGTCTTAATACTACGTAATTATTCGGTGATGTTAAGTCGATTTGGATTCCTTAAGAGTGTGTCTTAATACTACGTAATTATTCGGTGATGCTAAGTCGATTTGGATTCCTTAAGAGTGTGTCTTAATACTTCGTAATTATTCGGTGATGTTAAGTCGATTTGGATTCCTTAAGAGTGTGTCTTAATACTACGTAATTATTCGGTGTATTTTAAAAGGTCGATTTGGTTTCCCTTTAAAGGGGTTGTGTTTTAAATTTACTACGAAATTTTATTCGGTGATGTTAAGTCGATTTGGATTCCTTAAGAGTGTGTCTTATACTACGTAATTTATTGGGTGATTTTTAAGTCGATTTGGATTCCTTAAGAGTGTGTCTTAATACTACGTAATTATTCGGTGATGTTAAGTCGTTTGGATTCCTTAAAGAGTGGTTTTCTTAATACTTCGTAATTATTCGGGTGATGTTTAAGTCGATTTGGATTCCTTAGAGTGTGTCTTAATATTACGTAATTTTTCGGTGTGCTAAGTCGTTTTTTGGGGTTCCTTTAAGAGTGTTTTTTATTACTACATATTTATTCGGTGATGTTAAGTCGATTTGGATTCCTTAAGAGTGTGTCTTAATACTACGTAATTATTCGGTGATTTTAAAGTGTGATTTGGATTCCTTAAAGAGTGTGTCTTAATACTACGTAATTATTCGGGGGATTTTAAAGTCGATTTGGATTCCTTAAGAGTGTGTCTTAATACTACGTAATTATTCGGTGATGCTAAGTCGATTTGGATTCCTTAAGAGTGTGTCTTAATACTACGTAATTATTCGGTGATTTTAAAGTCGATTTGGATTCCTTAAGGTGTGTCTTCATACTACGTAATTATTCGGTGATTTTAAAGTCGATTTGGATTCCTTAAGAGTGTGTCTTAATACTACGTAATTATTCGGTGATGCTAAGTCGATTTGGTTTTCCTTAAGAGTGTGTCTTAATACTACGTAATTATTTGGTGATTTTAAAGTCGATTTGGATTCCTTAAGAGTGTGTCTTAATAATACGTAATTATTGGGTTTGATGCTAAGTCGATTTGGATTCCTTAAGAGTGTGTCTTAATACTACGTAATTATTCGGTGATTTTAAATTTCGTTTGGATTCCTTAAGAGTGTGTCTTAATACTACGTAATTATTCGGTGATGTTAAGTCGATTTGGATTCCTTAAGAGTGTGTCTTAATACTACGTAATTTTTCGGTGATGTTAAGTCGATTTGGATTCCTTAAGAGTGTGTCTTAATACTACGTAATTATTCGGTGATGTTAAGTCGATTTGGATTCCTTAAGAGTGTGTCTTAATACTGCGTATTTATTCGGTGATGTTAAGTCGATTTGGATTCCTTAAGAGTGTGTCTTAATACTAAGTAATCATTCTGAGAGATGTAATACTCACCGCAGAGTGTAACAGCCTCGTCAGATTCATCCGGGCACTCGGCCAGGCCGGAACAGGTAGCGTTCTGGTAGACACATACACTTCCGTCCCAGCATCTCCACATCCCTGGCTGGCACAGGATACCCAAGGATGTTTCCTCCGGTTGTTCTTGCGCTAGGATGCTCTCTCTCGTCACCGTGGCCTTGCTATCATGGATCAGTAGGCTGGTGTTGTGGTTAGTTTGATCCATGTGACTCTGGTGTCTGCTCTCACGAAGAGTGTGTTCAGTGATGCCTCCAGGCAAGAGGCTGGCCCAGGAGCTTGAGGAAGGAAAGACGATTCCTGTAAGAAAAAGAAAGTTCTCTGAGCAGTGGTGGGATTGAGAAGGACCTGCCAAGTATGGGCCAGTAGTCCTGCTGCAGTGTTTCTCCTTTCTGATGTACTAATTCCTAGTCTAGCCATATTTATTATTTATGAGCTCAATAACAACCTACATGAGAACAAGCACAGGTTGATAAATTAGACACATGTGCAACTCTTGGGTATCTTTATTGAGGAAACGTTTCGCCACACAGTGGCTTCATCAGTCCATACATAGGAGAAACTTGAAGAACAGGATGAGAATGAGGTAATCAGTCCCTCAACCTTGAGTCGATGTGGTCAGTCCATCAATCTTGAGTAGAATACTCCTTTATTCTACTCAAGATTGTTGTTATTACCGAGGAGCTGTTACTTACATTGAGTTAAAAGATCACCGTGACAACGTAGATACCCTCCTGTCAGATAGTAATGTACTACCCTCCTGTCAGATAGTAAAGTACTACTCTCCTGTCAGATAGTAATGTACTACCCTCCTGTCAGATAGTAATGTACTACCCTCCTGTCAGATAGTAATGTACTACTCTCCTGTCAGATAGTAATGTACTACCCTCCTGTCAGATAGTAAAGTACTACTCTCCTGTCAGATAGTAAAGTACTACTCTCCTGTCAGATAGTAATGTACTACCCTCCTGTCAGATAGTAATGTACTACTCTCCTGTCAGATAGTAATGTACTACCCTCCTGTCAGATAGTAAAGTACTACTCTCCTGTCAGATAGTAATGTACTACTCTCCTGTCAGATAGTAATGTACTACCCTCCTGTCAGATAGTAAAGTACTACTCTCCTGTCAGATAGTAATGTACTACCCTCCTGTCAGATAGTAATGTACTACTCTCCTGTCAGATAGTAATGTACTACCCTCCTGTCAGATAGTAAAGTACTCTCTCCTGTCAGATAGTAATGTACTACCCTCCTGTCAGATAGTAAAGTACTACTCTCCTGTCAGATAGTAATGTACTACCCTCCTGTCAGATAGTAATGTACTACTCTCCTGTCAGATAGTAATGTACTACCCTCCTGTCAGATAGTAATGTACTACTCTCCTGTCAGATAGTAATGTACTACCCTCCTGTCAGATAGTAAAGTACTACTCTCCTGTCAGATAGTAATGTACTACCCTCCGTCAGATAGTAAAGTAACTACTCTCCTGTCAGATAGTAATGTACTACCCTCCTGTCAGATAGTAATGTACTAACTCTCCTGTCAGATAGTAATGTACTACCCTCCTGTCAGATAGTAATGTACTACCCTCCTGTCAGATAGTAATGTACTACCCTCCTGTCAGATAGTAATGTACTCCCCTCCTGCCAGATAGTAATGTACTACCCTCCTGTCAGATAGTAATGTACTACTCTCCTGTCAGATAGTAATGTACTACCCTCCTGTCAGATAGTAATGTACTACCCTCCTGTCAGATAGTAATGTACTACCCTCTTGTCAGATAGTAATGTACTACTCTCCTGTCAGATAGTAATGTACTACCCTCCTGTCAGATAGTAATGTACTACCCTCCTGTCAGATAGTAATGTACTACCCTCCTGTCAGATAGTAATGTACTACCCTCCTGTCAGATAGTAATGTACTACCCTCCTGTCAGATAGTAATGTACTACCCTCCTGTCAGATAGTAATGTACTACCCTCCTGTCAGATAGTAATGTACTACTCTCCTGCCAGATAGTAATGTACTACCCTCCTGCCAGATAGTAATGTACTACCCTCCTGTCAGATAGTAATGTACTACTCTCCTGTCAGATAGTAATGTACTACCCTCCTGTCAGATAGTAATGTACTACACTCCTGTCAGATAGTAATGTACTACCCTCCTGTCAGACAGAAATGTACTACCCTCCTGTCAGATAGTAATGTACTACCCTCCTGTCAGATAGTAATGTACTACCCTCCTGTCAGATAGTAATGTACTACCCTCCTGTCAGATAGTAATGTACTACCCTCCTGTCCAGATAGTAATGTACTACCCTCCTTCAGATAGTAATGTACTACCCTCCTGTCAGATAGTAATGTACTACCCTCCTGTCAGATAGTAATGTACTACCCTCCTGTCAGATAGTAAATGTACTACCCTCCTGTCAGATAGTAATGTACTACCCTCCTGTCAGATAGTAATGTACTACCCTCCTGTCAGATAGTAATGTACTACCCTCCTGTCAGATAGTAATGTACTACCCTCCTGTCAGATAGTAAATGTACTACCCTCCTGTCAGATATAATGTACTACTCTCCTGTCAGATAGTAATGTACTACTCTCCTGCCAGATAGTAATGTACTACTCTCCTGCCAGATAGTAATGTACTACCCTCCTGTCAGATAGTAATGTACTACTCTCCTGCCAGATAGTAATGTACTACTCTCCTGCCAGATAGTAATGTACTACCCTCCTGTCAGATAGTAATGTACTACCCTCCTGCCAGATAGTAATGTACTACTCTCCTGCCAGATAGTAATGTAACTACCCTCCTGCCAGATAGTAATGTACTACCCTCCTGTCAGATAGTAATGTACTACTCTCCTGCCAGATAGTAATGTACTACCCTCCTGCCAGATAGTAATGTACTACCCTCCTGTCAGATAGTAATGTACTACTCTCCTGCCAGATAGTAATGTACTACACCTCCTGCCAGATAGTAATGTACTACCCTCCTGTCAGATAGTAATGTACTACTCTCCTGTCAGATAGTAATGTACTACTCTCCTGCCAGACAGTAATGTACTACCCTCCAGTCAGATAGTAATGTACTACTCTCCCTGCCAGATAGTAATGTACTACCCTCCTGTCAGATAGTAATGTACTACTCTCCTGCCAGATATGTAATGTACTACCCTCCTGTCAGATAGTAATGTACTACTCTCCTGCCAGATAGTAATGTACTACCCTTCCTGTCAGATAGTAATGTACTACCCTCCTGTCAGATAGTAAATGTACTACCCTCCTGTCAGATAGTAATGTACTACCCTCCTGTCAGATAGTAATGTACTACTCTCCTGTCAGATAGTAATGTACTACTCTCCTGCCAGATAGTAATGTACTACTCTCCTGCCAGATAGTAATGTACTATCCTCCTGTCAGATAGTAATGTACTACTCTCCTGCCAGATAGTAATGTACTACTCTCCTGCCAGATAGTAATGTACTACCCTCCTGTCAGATAGTAATGTACTACCCTCCTGCCAGATAGTAATGTACTACTCTCCTGCCAGATAGTAATGTACTACCCTCCTGCCAGATAGTAATGTACTACCCTCCTGTCAGATAGTAATGTACTACTCTCCTCCAGATAGTAATGTACTACCCTCCTGCCAGATAGTAATGTACTACCCTCCTGTCAGATAGTAATGTACTACTCTCCTGCCAGATAGTAATGTACTACCCTCCTGCCAGATAGTAATGTACTACCCTCCTGTCAGATAGTAATGTACTACTCTCCTGTCAGATAGTAATGTACTACTCTCCTGCCAGACAGTAATGTACTACCCTCCTGTCAGATAGTAATGTACTACCCTCCTGTCAGATAGTAATGTACTACTCTCCTGCCAGATAGTAATGTACTACCCTCCTGTCAGATAGTAATGTACTACTCTCCTGCCAGATAGTAATGTACTACTCTCCTGCCAGATAGTAATGTATTACTCTCCTGCCAGATAGTAATGTACTACCCTCCTGTCAGATAGTAATGTACTACTCTCCTGCCAGATAGTAATGTACTACTCTCCTGCCAGATAGTAATGTACTACTCTCCTGTCAGATAGTAATGTACTACTCTCCTGCCAGATAGTAAGTACTACTCCTCTGTCAGATAGTAATGTAACTACCCTCCTGTCAGATAGTAATGTACTACCCTCCTGTCAGATAGTAATGTGCTACTCTCCTGTCAGATAGTAATGTACTACCCTCCTGTCAGATAGTAATGTACTACCCTCCTGTCAGATAGTAATGTACTACCCTCCTGTCAGATAGTAATGTACTACCCTCCTGTCAGATAGTAATGTACTACTCTCCTGCCAGATAGTAATGTACTACCCTCCTGTCAGATAGTAATGTACTACCCTCCTGTCAGATAGTAATGTACTACCCTCCTGTCAGATAGTAATGTACTTACTCTCCTGTCAGATAGTAATGTACTACCCTCCTGTCAGATAGTAATGTACACCCTCCTGTCAGATAGTAATGTACTACTCTCCTGTCAGATAGTAATGTACTACCCTCCTGTCAGATAGTAATGTACTACTCTCCTGCCAGATAGTTAATGTACTACCCTCCTGTCAGATAGTAAATGTACTACCCTCCTGTCAGATAGTAATGTACTACCCTCCTGTCAGATAGTAATGTACTACTCTCCTGTCAGATAGTAATGTACTACCCTCCTGTCAGATAGTAATGTACTACCCTCCTGTCAGATAGTAATGTACTACTCTCCTGTCAGATAGTAATGTACTACCCTCCTGTCAGATAGTAATGTACTACTCTCCTGTCAGATAGTAATGTACTACCCTCCTGTCAGATAGTGATGTACTACCCTCCTGCCAGATAGTAATGTACTACCCTCCTGCCAGATAGTAATGTACTACCCTCCTGCCAGATAGTAATGTACTACCCTCCTGCCAGATAGTAATGTACTACCCTCCTGCCAGATAGTAATGTACTACCCTCCTGTCAGATAGTGATGTACTACCCTCCTGTCAGATAGTAATGTACTACTCTCCTGCCAGATAGTAATGTACTACCCTCCTGCCAGATAGTAATGTACTACTCTCCTGCCAGATAGTAATGTACTACTCTCCTGCCAGATAGTAATGTACTACCCTCCTGTCAGATAGTAATGTACTACTCTCCTGCCAGATAGTAATGTACTACCCTCCTGCCAGATAGTAATGTACTACTCTCCTGCCAGATAGTAATGTACTACTCTCCTGCCAGATAGTAATGTACTACCCTCCTGTCAGA